TTGTACGCATAAATTCGAAGGAAGTACCTGGAAAAAGCTCCTCTGCCAGAGATATTGCACAACTGAATTCCTTTCCAAAGAAAACGCTTTGTTCGTTTTAGCGTTGAATGCTTCTATTGTTATTTCGTTCAACATGGTGAAATCCTCTAACCCTCTGCATAAGAGCATTCAGATCAAAAAGTATACGTTTATTCATCTACTATTTTTTCCTGAACTACGATGGGAACCAGTTCGTACAATCCGAAAGCTTGATCTTTTCGTCTAAAGATTAGGCCTGATATCCGCGAACGATCCAATCAGGACACAATGACAGTGATATTTGTGATGGTGTTTTAGTTGACTGTTGATAAAATATCTAGTAATCGTGACCCTATCATGTGAAACCTTAATTTATTTCAAAGCCGCCCGAAACTAATTATTCCTTAACAAAATGAAATCATGAAAGGAACTAATGTATATATATTAGTTCTTTTCATGACTGCCATATTACGCTACGCTCACTAAAACAGCGTAACAGCCTTTCAAAAATCCAGTTCAATTCTGCTTTGATAAGTTAGATATATAAAACGAATTTGTCAAGCACACAGCAGCATTAGAACGTGAAGGACGATTATAAAAGCAAACCCATGTAGCACCAAGAACCAACCATTTCTCAACTTGACCAATGACTTGGTGCCAGCCTAATGGGCTGGATATAATCAACCATACTTAAGAATTTTAACCGGGTCAATATACCGCAAGACTGTGTCTGTCGTAGCCGTAACCACCTTCGAGGACAGTCGAAATTATTTTCCGAAGTTTAGTGAAAGAATTGCTCGCAAAGAACATATAGTAATTGTAGTAAAATATAATTCCCTATCATCATTCATTTATATTAATTTCCTCACCTGTGATCGGTGGAAGTCAACAGCTTCAATAAACATTAATACATATAAGATTAGCCATACGTGGACTGGTGTAAAATTAAACAACGACGAAAGAATTAGATATATATGTGTGAAGTCTTAATATAACAAATTGTGCATGAAGAACTATTTGCACAACCTCGAGATTATCTGTTCACGCTAATGAGCCAGACTGACCAGCAGAAGGACGTCAGAGAGCTCTACATTGCGCCGAATCAGCGGTCTCGCAATGTACGATAGGTACAAATCACACATCGCCTAGACAGCAAAGTAAGTCGGCCCCTTAATATATCTTCAGAAGGAATTATTTATTATACTTTTTAGGTCTGCGCCTACTTTTGCGTTTTTTCTAATCCAACGCTGAGGGTTCGTCTTTTTTAGCCGACCAGTCTTGATAGTCAGAATCAGCATTCCAGGTCTTCAGCAAGCAAAATGGTTTTAGAAAGCAGGTACACGGAGGGATTATATCTACCGATGAAAAGTCCCATTACTCATTTCGCTTTCGTTCATTTTAGTTTATCGAAATTATATGCGTTAAAGCTTTTCCATATGGCTCCTAAGGCATTAGTTGCAATAAAAATTAGCTTGACCTTGAACAGGCGCTTGAGTACGATAAACGTTGCGGAGCCTGATGATTGCCGCTAACAATCTATTTTCACTGGATCATCGTACGACATGTAAACTAAAGTTTTTTGCCATTGGAGGAGATGACGGGCCGTGAACGAAAACTATCGACATTGGTCAACTACGACGTCAGCGACTGCTGTCTAATCTACATTTTATCGAAATTTAACAAGACTGATTCACTACGAGCCATAGATTGGAGACAGTGTCATGAAGCCGTTTAGGGTACGTAAATTCTTCTATTATCATATGAAGTCGAGAGACTTTTTATAATTTCGGGATGCTTTTACGATAGGATAATGCCAAGATACTAAGGATCATAGCTTCTGTCTAAAAGTTCAGCTTCAGTTGGGTGCCGTAGTGGTATCATTTTTTTGTATTAATTATTCGCAAAGAAATAAATATGTTAGATATTCAATATGATATTATCGAACTATGCAAAATATGCTGTATGAATATGCTGTAGTTATTAAGACAGTGATTTAATAGATATTTATAATTATTTCGAAGAAGTTGATCTCGGAAAGCATTTACGTACGAAAATGCCCATATAAAACAGGAGTCGTGAATTGAAACGCACGAAGTCTGCACTGCAGCGGAGACGATAAAAAAGTAACTTACGCTCACAGCGAAGTTATGGATGGAATTCAATGCAGAGTCATCATCGCGCTTAAGCTGTTTGTAAAAGATGAAGATAGCGTAAACGTATATGTCAGTTCAATAACGCTGCTATCCATCAAGTTCTTTGTTATTCAAAACGCAGATCTGTAGCATTTCACTAATCTATATAGACACACAAGTTGTTTCAGACGCTCTGATTTTTCAATATCTACATAAAGGCAAATTTTGTTGCTTTTGAAAATGGACACTGCGAATTAATGGCAAACTAACTATTGTCTAACTTATAATTCTCACACAATAATCTATGATCGAGCTATTAGTAGCCTTTTCAGGATTACACCTGTATTGACATTGACACTGTATATTGCACTATTTGCTAGTCCTGCAAATATTGCCCTTATCTCTGGAGCCTGTCTTTTAGGGCTATGTTCATTCGTATAGGGGTAGCAACTATCACAACAAATGTTAGTTCGGCGAACTTCTTTTGACAGATTATAATTTTTGTATATTCCGTATACTTGACAATAGCAGCTACATGTTAGCACCACCCAAATCAAAGTATCATCGCCTTATCGCTATACAAACAAAATCAATTCAATTAATTCACTTCAACGATATCATTTATGAGGATACGACAAGATTCTCGTCCGTCTACATGAAGCCGCCTGTTAGAAAAGTAAACGTTGACGTTTGAGAGTTAGCTATGTGTCCCGAAGTGTCAGTGAGACACCCATCTAACCTTGTTGATCTTGGTCGGCGATAGACGTATACTGGGTAATTTTTATTCGAAGCACTGGCGCTTAACCGCGATTTTCGCTCCTAAAAATCTATCGGCCACAGAACACCGACTTAGATAAGGTTAGAAGGAAGATTTCTAAGCGGTGATATGTATATCTGTTTGGCAAAGCTGTTTGTGTCAGCGTGCTGCATTTAAACAACTAGGTTGGTAGCACTTTCAAAACTAAACGAACTATCGAGCATCAGTAGCGATTTGAAACTGCTAAGCGTTTAATAGATTTCCGCTGAAAATAAATTCTGCAAAACGATCCTAGACGCACGCGAAGCTTGCTAAGCCCCAAAGTAAGCAAAAAACTATTCAAATCAAAAAATGAGATGCGTATTAAAAATTAGTTGAAGTAGTCTCGAACACGAGCGAATAGTTGCGTTTTCTTAGCGTTGTAGAGCTATAAGACTAATTAAGTACGACACTTTTTTGTCGCAGTTCGTGCCAAAATGTTGACGTACATATTGAACGCCGAACAGAAATACCTTATCTTCTATTAGTCTACTCATATTTTCTACGGTTTTGAAAAAAGGTTAAGCGTATTTTCCTCATCGAAAGTTTACCGATTCGGATATAAGATCAAATCAGGATGAAACAAAGACTGCGGACAAATCTCAACGTTTGGCTATCAGTTCAATGCACTAGTAAGAGAATATAACACACCATTTATACTTGATGTAAACAAAGGAAATGGCTTACGGGTTTCGTTCTATGAACCGCTAAATAGCAGCTTATTGTTTATAGAATTTATATACCTACATGTAGTTCTGTTAATAATAATAATAGAAGAGAAATATTCGGTAGTGAGAATCGTCCTACTAGGACAGCTAGATACATAATTCAGTCTAACGTCTTACCTCCCGTCTTACGTGTATATGTATGTATATATATATATATATATACTTAATAAATTACCTAGTACGCAATGGATGAGATAAAGACACTGAATGTGATGTGAACTGTTCGGCAAAACTAACGAGAAATATGGTTTAAGGTAAAATTTTTTAATTCATTTTTATTCTGTAGTGAAAGTGTCACAGCTAATGAACCTAATAACGGGCAACACGATTTCACCTTACGTCCTAATATGGGCGTCTTCCAAACATGTACCTCGGGCAGTCATGTTTCAACAGGGTTTTACGTCAGCCGGCCGCCTTGTTCGTTATACCAATGCACTATTTAAAGTTGAACCTTCTTTAATTGAATATAATGTGATTTGAAACACAAATACGATAGCTGCATGGAAAGTACATTCGATTCATTGAATGTCCTATCCACACTCAATCGAGCATCCTGTCGTTAATTTTATTATCCCGTGCAGTCTGTGTATAACCTATTCTAACTGTCCGAATCTATAGAAGCTGATCGTTTTTTTTTTTTTTAGAAGACAACAGATTTCGTTTAAATGAAGCCGCATAAAGCCTTTTTCTGCCTGAGAGGTCATCGTATAGAAAAGGCGGAGCTTTATACCGCCTATCCGTGTTACAGTACGCGCGAGAGAGTGTCGTACAAATCTGGCTATAAGACAGCAGACGGTGATCACAATAGGATATTTTCGACGACCGTGATCCGAGTTAGCAAGTAGTACCAATATGGAAAACACATCGTCTCAAATAGAACTAGGCAATATGTTGTGCCTTCAAGTTCTTCGATATAGATATATGTATAGCTATATTGAAGAGGTAATTACGAAGACTTATTCATGCAGCAGAAGCAGCCAAAGACTTCGAGAAAAAATATTTGCTCCCTAAATTTTACTTGACCATATTTTTAGGGGCTAAAAATAATTATCTAGAAACACAGCAGCTTTTCATTAACAGTCTTCCATCAAATTTCGACACCGTTCGCACACGCTGTGTGTGTGTGTGTGACTGCTACATGTGGACTGGCCTGTCACGCCACTTAATCCAATGCGAACCTATGGCAGGCTCTACTGTGCCTCCTTTCCACGAGAACCCTTGCCGTTGGTGAAGGCAAACCTTCGCAGGGGCCATCGCATATTGTACTAACGGTTTTACTTCGACCCTCATTTTTCGTTATATAACGGTATTAACACGAGCAACGTTTAGGACCTTTCATGAGTATGAGTGAGCTAAGCGTTAAAAGTATTTGATCTGCTGAAAGAGATTTCATTCTGTCGTTATAATTAGGCCTTAAAAGTATGTTTTCCTTATGCGGATATGAGCATTGTCAACCAGTGTAAATTTTATAATATTAATCCCGTTCTTCCGTTACCGGATTATGTCCCACACAGTAGCAGTGACGCTTTACCAACACATGATGACAATGTATATATTGTTAACACGTATTTGAGATGCGAACATTAATATTTAGAACGGTGTCATCACTTTTAAGAGCTATGTTTTTGGCAAAACCATTTCAGTGATCGTGCATTTGGGACCAGCTGTTACAATCGATATCGTCTACCGCTGAATCACTTTGAAGACGAGAGGAAAAACATTTAATCCAGCTGAAATTTCTTACATCCAACCACTGTGACAGTCGATCCATATGTTTACGGATGTTAGGTAGTACTCCCAAAGCAAAACGCCGCCTATCGTATTCGAACTGAAGTTTTAAGTTGAAAGTGACAGGATAGTTGCAGAGGCAGTGTCAACGGTGCATCAAGCGTGCGCACGTAATTGGCCGCGTTCAGCGCTGTCGTCACGATCACGTCCAAGCCGCGGCTTGCTTCAATAGCCCCCCTGCCAGTTGGTCCGTCACTAATCAACCGCTGTTCTATTGCAGTATTCGACTGAAATGTTATCAACATCGGGAGCTGGGGGGTTCCAGATGGTCGCATTATGGACAACTACGCTTACATTGATAGTGCTTACGGCAACCGGGACTCGTACCACTGCGAACGTCAGGACCACAGCAAATCATTCGACTATGGCAAGTCAGTGAAAGTGAAACGTTTGGCTATATTCTAATTTAATGATGATATGTTTTGAAATAACTGGCTATTATGACCTGTGTTTTATAGATATACCGTCACTTTTCTCTTACCTATATTCGAAGAGATGCAATTATCATTTAGACTAATTAGACGCACGATTAATTTGCAGCCCAATTCGCAGTAGAAGCTTATGTGGAGCTATTTTTTTTTTTTACTAAACTGTCAATCATTCTGGCAATGCAATACAGTAGAATACAACAAAGCTTTCACCACCGCGCTCAGTCACCGTTTCACAATCTGGAACGTTTATATAGGAAAATTATTTGTATTTGTAGGTTGTAACGACCCCGCAATGGTCGCGAGTCCCAGCAGCTTCATATTTGCCCAAATACAAATTTGAATTATTTTTTTTTACTAGTTAAAAAAAAAGCTAGAATAAATAAAAGAGCGGAAATATGTTCTATAATAGTTAAAATATATTTTTTTTTGCTAATTTTGTCCATCGCAAGAAAGGAGTCGTAAGCTCGAACAGCATCGAAAAGCTTAAAATGAATTAGCAGAAGCAAAAAAGAATGTTATTATTATTATTATTATGATAGGTCTTAATTATGCATGATAAAATCAGCATTATTTAAAGCGAATTATTTTCGACCTACGCCTCACTTGCAACCGTAACCGTGTTATCATACAAAATTTAACAAAAACGTCCAATAAAATCCATTAGATAGTCGCCTTACAGACAGTTAAATCAATGAAACTATTTTACCACAAAACGAGCAGTTGTGGATCATCTAATTGATATGCATATTCTAAATAATCTTGTTATAAAAAAGCTAACCTAACGGACAATTTCAGATCGTGTCCGGAGAGAAGCTGTTGATCTGCGGTCTGTTTATCAAATTCAACTCGACAACGTCACAAAAATCCAAATCAATGCTGGACCACCCTATACTGAGTTTGCTACGGTTAGTGTAATTGCCGTATTTACTTGTTTTTGCTTATCAGGCACCCGTAGACCAACCCCTTAAGTGATAAGGATTTAAATCAGGACTTAATTATCAGCCGGTGGGTCACTGTAGATTCATCATACATACGTTGCTTGCGCCGTGTTACTTGAAGTGCTATAATAATTTACAATTTATAACGTGGTTACAGCTTTTTTTTTTTTTTTTAGACAAACGCCTTTTGAATTCTGTTCTAATCTCCCAAATAAGCGGAAACATTCTCGCAATAACGATAAGCGCTTCGTTGTACTACCCGAAACTTAATTTTATCTAGTAATAGGGTTATACTGCAATGTATTATAGATGGAAACAGACAACGCAAGTTTAAGTCTTTCACCTAGCTGCTGTTCTGTTTTAGGTTGTAGAGTTCCTCTTTGCTTCACATCGCTCACGTTGGTCCTAACGTTAGAATAGCCGTTAGATACACCTGAGGCTTTTCTATGAACAATTTAAGCTTTTCGCAATCAATCTATTATTTTTGATAGTTATGATCTGAAGTAGTGGTCCAAAGGAAAAAGGAAAAAGGAAAAAGGAAAAAGGATCAATATGTGAAAAACACGCTTTTTTTTGTCCACAATTAATTAACCTCTTTATGACTTCACGATTATACAAGCGCTAGAATTATTACGCCCACGATAATAACAGCTTTGTTTTGCTCACGTTTTTAATACACTATCCGGACATCTTTTTCGTAAAATTAAGTTTTTAGAATTACGTCTGCAGTATGGAATCGAGAGTTTGCCCCATCTACTAACCCAGGATTGGCCATACTAAATTTAGCTGGGTTTAACTCCAGCACACCTATAAAACAACGAGACAACTATACGAGAATCTTTGTTTTGTTGCCGACGCCCTGAACGTGGATGACTCTAGTTCATTTTATGGTTACGGTGGCAATATATCCAAAGAGCGCATTAGCCACCTGGGCCATGCAGCCCCAGCACGCTGTACGGGAAAGTTCATGTTAGACGATAAGCTCAAATAAGGCGATCGCTGTTTGGAAACCGAGTTTCAAAAAGATCCCAGTCAGAAGTATGTAAATGGGAAATATTTAGATAAAAAGTTGCCTCGTATGCATGGATTTGACAGATATTAAGAATGAAAGCTAATATTAACAAGATTGCTCTTTACTTCTAAGTTTACTTCAACTTACACAACAGTTAAACGGTAGCGCTCGGTGTCTTTAAAACTAATGATCCTTTGTTGAAAATCTATAAAGCCAACCATTATTCTATAGATCAGTATGTTATATAAACTTCTATTTATGGTAAACAATCTATTATGTAACAACATATGATCGCTATCGTTCAAAATACACGTACGGTCAACTAACGGTATATGTTCTGCCAACTTGTTATGTCATCCAAGGTGAGCCCTCGGGTGCTTTCATGTTTCATGTACGATAGCGATCTATTGACAAGGCGCTGTCCGTATGTGCTACCTTAATCGAGAACGACTGGCAAATCCCTTGTTGTATTTACCACTGCAAAATATCGGCCAGCAGTACGATTTATCAGATTATCAGGCTTAAACTTATTTCGACAAATCAAAACCCGCGCAGTTAGAAAGTTTGAATGGGTCTGCAACAGACTGGTATTGAGTTTTTTTTCTATCGATTAGATGCTCATTTAACCCAGTATTCGTCAGAAACAAGATCAATATAAAGCGAGCCAAATCAAATGCGTCTATAACATATTAGACGGGTTCTATTCTGTCGTACACATTTCGCAACAGATTTATGTGTTTTGTGATCGGACACAACTATCTTGTGACATTCACATGACCTCAAATAGGCTTTAAGACAGCTAGTAAGCAGCTAAGCGAAACAGCTTGGCAATCTTTGAAGCTGGCCGTGTCGACAAATTTGAGACTGAACAGCGGGAAGGGGGAGGACGCAGGGGTTGATTCAAATATGGCGTACTAAATAAACGATAATATTCGTCATTCTTTGTACGTCAATCGCTGGGTGATGCCATATGATAATATTATAGCCCTCTTAAGCTTCATCTAAGAAGAGATAGCTTGTCTTAGAAATGAATGATCTTTTCCAGTAGATCTGTAAAATCGACAACCGCTTTATAAGCCACTGTATCATGTAAAGTTTTGCTTATGCGGAATTATGGCTGTTGTTGGCCAACAGTATACGGTAGAATAATCCAGCATGCTCCAATGCTCACAGCTGAAAACCAACAGCGGGCGCAAACTACAGACGGCCACTTGTACGCCCCTGCCCGTACGCTCACCTAAACATTCGCATGAAACGGGAGTATTGTAGGTCTACGATCGTCGTTCCGGCTATTGGCGCCGACTACGAACCAGGAGCTCGGCCCGCCACTAAATTCGAATTGCTACGTTGGTCGACCTCAGCTAGAAACTTCTCCGCTGTTGTTACCTGTGGTATCGCTGCAGCTTTATCGTAGTTTTATCGATCTCTTTCATCAGTTCCAACAGTAAACCATCGAACATCCTTAGCGCTGGGCTTGACGCCTTTAAACGGCCGTCGTCCAGGATATACATGACAACGATATCCTGGCAGTGATAGCTATATATATATATATATATATATATATATATAGCTTGAATAACTCGTAGAGGCTGATACGTCATCGGTGATCCGTAGAATATAAGTAACACCAGATCTACCGATCGATCAGGCGATGCTAATATTCGTGTTATTTTTATGATGACGATATCTGAGGCAACAGATCGTGCTATCAACGATTCCAATAACAGTCTTTGTAGAAGCGGCAGCAATTGAACAGGATTACCAGACTTCGGTACATGATTACCTAATTTTCAGGAACTTCGATTCGAGGTGAAATAAGGATGTCGTATTCCAGTAATTGGTAAGCTTCCAGTAATTGGAAGCAGAAGATCTGTCCTCACTGTGGAAAACCAAAAGATACATTTTTACAAATTTAAACACATGTCTGTCAGAGCAAGGACACCCACCGTAATTTTCAAAATATTTCTTACGTTAATGGGAAACTGTAACCTAAAAAAATTTTTTTTAATAGAACACTTGTCTCTCAGTTGATTCCATAAGGGTATGCATTTTTTTAAAAGTAATGTTCCCTCTACAGTAATACATATACACTGTTAAATCGTTAGCCTTAATATCTCTGGTAGCAGGCTATAATGCTTTTTAAGCCAATCAGCAACAAGTAACATCGATGTCTTATGACCTATGTCATAATCCTCAATGCGTTTTAAAATAGACAATACTTTATATATCCATTGAATGAATAAAGTGTTGCCTATTTTGGTGCAAGCTGTATATTTAGTTATGCATTTTCATAAATTCAATTGTATTTTTCTATTGTGTTGCGTAGAGGGAGATATTTTCTGTAAGTTTGAAGTTCAGCATGCTATTTAGCCGTCTGAGCCTGTTCGCCGATTTAAAAAAAAAGTTAAATTTATCAAGATTGACATGTTCAGCTTTTGACTCGATGGAGCAACGATATATTTCGATGCTTATATGTGCGACTGTAAAATGATGTCGTTCTAATTACTTGGTTTGAAAGGTTTGTATGTCAGCCTAGAGGGTACCGCCAGCCAGAATCAGGCAGCGTTGCGGAGGGTCAATTTTTGAGATCCCGTTTCAAAGGCCTACAAGTTACACACACTTACAATGCTAACAAGTTCAGCAGAACGTGAATTTACACAATCAGCAAAAGCTGTTTGACGACAATCTAACGTTTGCTTTTTTTTTGAAATTGCATTTCATGTTTGATTCTTTTATTTCGAAGCTAACTGGCACAATCCACATTCGTTTGGTTCGCACGCATAGCATGCCGATATTGCGTCATTTATCTAATCAGGGTATTAAAAACTTTGACTGAATACTCAGAACAATGGGGTTGTTGGTGCGACCTATCTAGTCAACAGTCCCCAGAAGTTCCTCTGTGTGTTTCTTCCACGATGGCTTAACAAAATCGATGCGATACTCACGTTAAGTAGTCCATTTAATTTATTTTGAAATGTTTCTTGCGCATTACTTGCTTCTTAGTTTCAAAAAGCTCTAAGTCTTATTGTAATTTTTTTGTTCATCATATTTCTTAAGCGCTTTATTAAATTTCCAAGCACTTAAGTGTCGATTCCCTTAACCGTGGTCGAGCCATTCGTCACTGAGATGCCATTGAGATAAATTTTCAATAATTTATTTTCAGCTAAACTGAACTTTAACTTTAATTTTAAAGTTGACGATCTGAAAAATTTTGATTAACAGAAAGATACTTGTTTTTCCAAAAACAAATATACAATCGAGATGTTATCCAACTATCACTGAGATAAACTATCTTAGACATGTTGTACTTAAAAAGTATAATGTATATTCGTCCCGTTATTTGCGTACCCAAAAACCAATATATTTTTTAATTAGACCGCCTACGATCAGTCGAAACAACTGTTAGCCTTTAGCGTACTCAGATGCCAAATGGATCAATTCAAATGAGAGGAAGTCAATAGGAAAAGGCAAAGCAAATGCTAATTTCGTGCTTTTTTTCAAGTACGTTAAACCCACTTTGCATTGTTATGTGCCTTAGATTTGGGGCTGTTAATGCTTAGTGCTATGGAGGTTTTCGCGAAGCATGCGACGAACAGAATTATATATAAAGTTCTATTCACTGAGTTCAGTTTAGCAGACGAAAACAGGTTATGTCGTGCCGATTTAGAGTAATAGAATTTTTCGGGAGTGAGACCGGGAATAAAAACCCACCTATCATTGTATCAGTTGTCCCTACGGTAGACTGCCTGGCCTCCCTACCGTTTTATGCTTTCTAGGAGTTTTCTGCATCATCTTACCTGTTTCTGACACTGTTCTAATTCTGTTTTTGCATTTCAGTGTCTAGCAGAAATGACTGAAGATGAAAAGGTTTGTAGAGCTGCAACAAGTGACGCCCGAAATATGAATCTATATCAGAGCTACCACCGAATCCGTACGGACGCGTAGGGTCGGTTTTTTGATCGCGCATGGTAAATTATGTCAAGGCTGCGACCGGTCTAAAGTCAGACTAAATCGTTACGCGCGGTTTCTGTACTAACGTAAATATCTAACAAAAAAAAGACCATGTTACATATAGTTTCAATATTATTGATAGAAATAATACTCTTTTACATAATGTATACAGTTTTAACCTAGATTTTAATATGTTTCAGAGAAACCTCGTGCTTGCAAAGGATCTCAGTGGGGTAATTATACGCGCATAAAAAAAAGCGAAGAGATTGGTTCTAGTTTCATGATAAAAGTCTAACAGTAGTTGAAATTGTTTTTTTTAATGTAATCCTTTAGTTTTCTTTTTGAGATTTACACTAGCGTTAGGTCATCCGCCAGCCACGGTGTAGTCGATCACAAATAGGCAGTTTCCTTTCATTGTTAGACATCACGATAATATTATTCCTGCACTTTTGCAAAAATAAAATTTGTTTTACTGGTATTTACGACCAGTTTGACTTTAAACACTTGGACCGTAGTCATTCGAGCAAAAATGCTGACAGATCAAATCACGCACAATAGAAAACCTACTTTCTCTTCTTTCCTTTGTGTTTTGTGATCATTTTCTAGGGTTATTTTCAGGGGGTAAAACAGCACAGAATCATTGTTCAACAGATCAGAACGGTGTTAATTTTTCTTGGCAAACAATAAAACATGTACGAGGCTTATGCTTACTACGTATCTAAATTTGGCAGAGCGTCGCGAAGCACTTCAGTGTTACGTAATAATTCTGTGCTGTCTTTAAGGTCTCCCACTATGTACTAATAAGTACCGCAACAATTATAGCATAACATGCGCTAATGCTACAGTAACAATGCTACTATCGATGTCCGCCATTGCAGTGTGGCAGGGATGCAATGCGCTTATTTGAGAAGCAGGTAAAGCGACATCTCGGCATCCGGTCAATGTCGGACTTACCCTACGTGGTTGGGAATCTTTCACGAGTAGACCATATGACATCGCGTATCCTTAAACATATAGAAAATGTCGAGAAACAGATGCGACGAATGGATAGAATGGAGGGAAGCCTTTTTCATCGGACTCTGCATAATGCACAGGACGCCTTCAAGTGTGTAAACACGAGTTACAGCCTTTGCGATAGTCGTCTGGGGGCAAAAAATGTCAGTCTTTCTGGTCTTCATAGTACATTGCAGTAGTTCGTGTTTAATAAGCATTAATACTATTTCCTCCGAAAAGTACAAAAGTACATTACATTCCGGTTGAAAGGCTAACCAGAGAAATCGGAAATCGGTGTGATTAGATGACTAAAAATATACATAATAATTATAATGATACTTTTCATTATAACGACGAAATATACATGTAATATTGCAATTCAAGGGGCGTTGGCGAAATGGCGAGTCTTCGGAGTTCCAACCTCGTCAGTAATATTCAACACTTTTTCAAGGACTTTAACCGATCGATGAGCAACTTTGATGAATTAGCCAGTAATTTCGAAAAGAAAACTTTAAGTGATACGACAGAAAGTATGGCTTCTGGTGCAACCCTCAGTGATCTCGATGTCATTACGAAACGATTACAAAGAGATATCTACAGTCTTCACAATCTGACGGAAGCATTACCTACGCTGCAAGATGGCCGCCGGCTTACGGACCAGACTGTAGGGAACTTCACTTTAATGATGCGAAACCTCACTATTGGGTTACCCGAACTGGTGAGTCTCTTTGATTCTTCATCGTGACGTCAGCAATGTTTGGTGTAACCCAGTCTCTAGCTAGAGCTAAAGTGAATTGAGTGTTCAGGATCAGCTCACCTTTAATCGGGCAGATCAGTTCTATATGCATATGTACAAATTGCTTCTCGCATTGCGACAGAATTAGCACTACTTCTAAAGCATTTGTGTTATGATTATTGTAATAATGGATTTTGTTTTTAACAATTTTAATAAAAGGATGTACACACAAAAAACCGTCGATAAGCCAAGCCGTTGGTAGTCGTTGGACCTGTCGCGTTCATTCAGCTATACTGTCGTTCAGATAACAGTTAAACTGATCTAGATAAGCATGATAAATACAGCTTTTTATACATTCTGTAATGAACGACGTAAAAAATTCTCGTCGCCAGTGTCTTTAATATCTGCTATAGTAGTGTGCCCACATTATTGGATAGGCCTCCAGTTCCTAACAACATTTATGATTTTCTCAATGGGGGAACTGGACCCATATGCTGGTTCAGGTTCCTTATTAAGAAACTCAATGTCCCAATTGAATTTCAATTGGGACGTTGAATTTCTGATAAGACAGTCTGATAATTGTTTTCATAGCCGCTAAATTAAAATACAGGTTCGTCGCATGGGTCCACTACGAGATCGTCGAGGAGCCCATCAGATCCGGGAATTCATGTCTGTGGTCAACGATAACATGCATAACGTATCCATGAGTCTGACCGAGCAGCCGCTACACAGAAATGGCCGCAGCGATATTTTCTCTGCTGTCGATGGGTATGATTTAGTGAATTAGCATGTATAATGTGCTTATTCTAACTTTGTCTCTTTAAGCTGTATGCTGATGTACCTCGCATTAACAAGCAATAAATATAAATATCTGTAGTTCGTATTACTACGAGAATCGTAGCAGTTGTAAAATAGGATTTGGTTTCCGTGCTTAACTTTTCCTTACCCAACCTAATTATTTGTGTATCGTTCTGTTGTACGTTTGTGGTTCCAGTGGAGTCCACTAACGTTTAAAGGGTTCATGATAAGCTCGCAATCATTTTCGTCTTCTTTGGTAGCTTTCAGTCTGCAATAGGACACATGGGAGCCGCGTTTCACGATCTCCTGCGAGGCACATTGGCGTTTATCAATCCAACGTCCTGGCAACCTATTCTACCGCTGGTATCTCGACCTTTGCGCGAGCGCCCCTTGTTAGGAGCACCTCTACTAGGGCAGCCCTTGCTTGACAGACGAACAGCAAACGACGAACGAAGACCACTAGCCTCACTGCCTCTGCTGGGCAGGCCGCTCAGGTATACAGGCCACTGCATGTGCCTCAAAAATAAAATAAATTTTATACGATTCTTTTTGGAACTTTGTTAGATTGTACTTCAGCGAGATTACTAAATATCTTTTTACTGAAAACACCAACTCAAACTATTCTTTTACTAGGTCAAGTTCCTGAAGCCAGTTGTTTCATGTATGTAGGCCTTTTTAAAGCCTTACTTTCTAAAAAGGCGATTTTAAAAAGAGAAGGTCGATGCTTGCATACTCGAAAAAAACGTTTGTGAACAGTCTGGTCAAATACGAAAGATACGACCAACTCTCGATTAGTAGTTTTTATAAAAGAAGTGTTTCAAATGGCAAAAGAAGAATATTCATATAAATAAGTAAATGTCACCCGTAAAAACATTATAAGAAACACCGAAGCCTATGCTAAATGTTCGTAATGGCCCGTCTACTCAGTTTTATCGCGTACTAACCGCAAATATTTACAGGCCTCCCGTGGGTCTGTTGGCGCTTCAGCGAATGGTGGAGCTGGGCCTAGGTCAAAGGCAGCACCAATTTTACCCCTATGAACAGCCAGATATCAATCCAAGGAGACGTCGAACCAACAAAAACAATGACAATGACGAGGATTCCGACGACTCAAAAGAAAACCGCCAAAGGGAAAGGAAATCCAAAAAAAACTGAGATTAGGTTGTACAATAAGTGGCGATATTTCCAAATCTCAATGTAACCATCATAACTAGCCTTTGCACTATTTAGCTATATATTGCTGTCGAAAATATATTATGTAGGCAACATAAAATTGGAAAATTTTTCGTCTATGTTAGATACACACGGAAGACAAAAAAGAAAGTTCAATATTTATATAATATTGCCAATACGTATATCGACGTTTTTTTTTCCATATTTAATATTGCTTCGCTATAATTTTTAATTTGGCCAGGTATAAAACATACAAGCTTATCTTGCAGAACCAAAATATCTTTGCAGACCGAAAGAAAATATTTGATATTTCGGTGTAAATAATAACGCGTTTATATGCGACGTCCTTATAATACATGAAGAGAAATCTGCTGATTGTTTAGAATTCAAAATTTGGTTAGTTATTATAGGTTATTCGGTGAAGTTATAATAAGTAAGCGATTCTACCTACAAAACGCTATCCCTATAGGAAAATTCGGTGCGTGAAATCCTCGGAATATTTTTGTAAACTATCCGGTAAGTCGTTCACGTAATAAGTAAATGGCCAACCCATTATCGGCAGAATGATTTAGTTGGTTGAATAAAATGTACTGACCCAAGTTATGGCGAAGTACTCAGTCGACGAAATCTAGGTACAGGTGAGGAACTGATCATAATTATCTACTATATTGTTTTTTCAGGACGAGGTGAGTGAATTTGTTTGTTAAATCATCAACTATAGGTATGGTATCACCTACAGTACAGAACGAGTGCTTTGAAATTACAGATCGCCAACAGTGTCCTCTCCTTCGTTCATCGATACGTCTCTATCTGTCATTTGGATTTGTTTGTTTTCTCAGCCATTTTTTCCGAGCCATATTTTTTCAGCCGAAGTAAATTGATGGCTTTCAGATCAAGATCGAATCCAGCAATGTAAGATTGCCTCATATTGCGGACAAGATGTTCATTTAACGCAAATCATACTGTCAAGTAAGACCCCTCACAAAATATCTTGCGAGTCGACAGTTGACATTATAGAAAATGCGTATATTAGTAGAAAAGTTACCCTCTTTTTAACGTAACTTTTTTATCAAGCATCTTACGTAAATAGCAATCAGCTTTTTTTTCGGATATTCCACTCGAGTTAAGTTCAAGCTGACTGAGCGTGCTTAACCTATCTACCAGCTGCGCACTTCAGAGTTCGTCATTCATGACGAATGAGAATATCATGACGTAAACACATATGAATGGTAATAATATAGAAAACTAAATAAATAGTGTTTATTTCTTCTCGTTAACTTTTCATCTATTTACGTGTTTGTTAGGCTAAATAAATTGGAAAATCCAGATAGAGAATTGTTATCGCGCGGCGGATTATATTCGTCCTTCGAGGGACAAGCGCCAGGATATGCTGGCTTCATCGCACATTTGAGCGTGTCTCGTGCGTATGGGTTGACACCGTGGCTGCATGGGCCTTAAGGTGTAGACTAGGGTTCAATGGGTATTCGGTGCTACGTCAAGGTAGATGTCGAGTATCTGACTAGAAACTCGTTTATATTCGGCAGTATTTCGGTCGTTCATAGCAATACTTTTCAAAGTAGTAACGCAATGTTATTATAGGATCTATATTTTTTGTCGCTCTATATACACTTTCAGTAGACTTCATTTGACTGTGATTGTATAGTTTACTAAGGTGCTCTCTGTCAATAGAAGTCGCCTTATTGGGGATAATGGCCTAGCAGGTAACCTTATTATGGGTTGACAGCTTGTTCTGAGGGGCGTTGTGCTGGTCGATACGCCCCTCGAGGGTTACCTTGAGGCTCATCTTGTAGAGGCATCTTTTCCATAAAGGTTTGGTGCCTGCAACATTGCGATTTACAGCAAATGCATATTATTGTCCTGCTTTAGCGAGCTTCGTTTTTATACGGCTAACGGGATCCAGAGGAGCGACGAACTTCAGGCACCAGTATACATGGTGAATATACACAAATAGATTACAAAACTGGCTATATTCATTTAACCTGCTGGTAGTTACTATAAATTTTAACTATAATTACCAAAATAAAAAAATCACTCACAGTCCTTGCTCCTTCGTGTTATAATCGCCTTTTTCCTCACGACTGCCCAAGTGGCAGAAGCAGAAGTAAACGAAGCAAATGAGCAGAACTGTTGGAAGGAAGATTCCCAACGCAATAGCAACCATCGATGTAATATGCACACGAGTACCTGAAGTGCGAGGTATTGTGGTTAGCAAAATTGTTATTGTATATTGTGTATTGTATTGTGTATATTGGTTAGCAAAAAAAAAAAAAACAAACAAATACACGTATTGTTCACACTTATCCTATGGATTAGAAGTAGAAAAGTTTAAACAATATGGCTACAAACATAGCAGCACATACTTGCGCAGATGGCTATAAGTATTCGGTCCGAGTTACCTTAGCAGACAGCTTAACACTGATCGTAACGCCAAAAATCACTTCCCTTACTTAAAGCAAAAAGGGAAGCATGACTCAATCCGAACTTACTCTTGCACGAGGCGTTCTCTCCCCATGACCACAAACCCGTCTCTTTACACTGACGGTATTCGTGACCGTATAAACGGTAGCCCTCCTGGCATGTAAAACGAACAGTCTTGCCTACGAAGTTTCTGATTTCCGATTTCAGTCCGAATGCAGGTTTATCAAGGGCCTGACAACGAATTTCGGTCCGTCTCACCTCCGCAGAAATAACTCGAGCCGATGTTTCAACGAGCTTCGTCGTTGCTGCATAGGATTTGCTTCCAGTCACAATGTAATCAAAGCGACACGCCCGCGATGTTGCACAAATCTATTTAAACAGCAAATATTAATAAGAACAAACATTTACCGACGTCCTGCTAGTTCCTGCCCAAAAATGCACAGGATATAATGCCTGTCGGATCGATACTGTCGTTTTTGGTAAATGTTTGAAAGTATACATGGACGAAAGTCCATCCAGCGTTCAGTTACATGTAACTAAATGTTAAGCAGCTTAGGGAAACGAAAACTATGAAAGGGTGCCTACTTCCTCCAGATCCCGTTCGCGAAAGGTGGCATTTAAAGGAACTGTGATTTCCCGTGAAGATACAGAGAGCGGTCGAAAGTATACATTGTCATAATGGCCAAATTTATATCCAAACAGTTGATGATTGAATAGTGATGCTGATTCGTTAAGTCGATCTGAAAAGAACACAACAAATCTACTTTCTTTTTAGCGTGTCTCAGTAGTGGTACAAGTTTGAAAGCCAAACGTTATTCATCATTGCATAGCAGTATACGTAGGGAATTGCAATCAATTTTGCCTACGTCTCTTACGTTATATAAAACGCGTTAGTTTGCATAGGGAGCGCTAGTGCACAAAAGGATTGCCCCCGGCTGACTGAACGAGATGCCCTGACTTACGCCTGTTTCCGAATTCGCTATCTGTTTCGATGTCGGTTTGACTCGCAAAGTTTCCGAAGTCTCGTTGATCGCCAGATAAATCGTTGCCTGCTCGATTATCCCAGCTTCCTAGCAAACCGCTCGTGATATTCTGTAATTACGCAAGGTGAACGATCACAAGTAACCGTGCACTTACACAAATACGCGCGTATAAGTGTATGTTTAAGCCATTATACAGCGAATCGTACAAAGCATATCGGCTCAAACAGGGACTGTAACACGTAACGGTCACTGCACAAGTCAGGATAGCACAGCCGCTCAAAGTACTTACCACGAACTCGATAGGCAGGAACACATTCAGAACAAGCTGCTCGTTGACCACACTGACTTCAACTCCGGCGCCTGAGTCAAACATGGCTACGATCTTCGACATATTGTAATAGCCAGTAGGCTGGTAAATTGATACGCCTATGAAACAAAAAAATGTGGACTCGAAATTTTTACACGTTCTTGGGCTTATATTTGCCTATTTATTAGCACATGCAAAAAGAGCCGCAGGCGCAGCTCAGATGGGAACATCAATTAACGTAATGTACGTCATACTCATAGAAACATATGGCGGTTTCCATCACAGCACTTCTACCACGCGGACGACTCGTACCTTTGAAGTTTTGCGTTCTCATTGAGTCGTCCCAGAAGTAGATATACTCATTATCTACAATCAGATACATCTGATACTGCCATCTCGCTACGAGCGGACGAAGGTGGAACTCAACAGTCGATGAGACGTTATCTCGAGCAGCAATACCTGAGAGGTAGGTCCCGTTCATAATAAAGTCAGAAGCATGTTCTCGTTTTCGAGACTCAAATCGACCTTGGATACTGAGTTTGGCTTTTTCGTTGTCAGCATGTACAAGCGAAAATTCGCCGTGTCCATTAAACGTGTAGTTGGTTCCGTCAAATGTGAGGAAATGCGGATCGCCGAAGACTGAGGCGAAGCCAGGCGGCTGGTAGGCGGAACAGTCTTGCGATGTGCGGTACCATTTGTACTTTTGGCACGAACTCGAATCATCTTTATCGGGTTGCCATTGACAACAGGTGAAGAAGGGCATCATGTCAGCCTGCCAGGTAGCAAGGGTTGCCACTTTTGAACGTTGATTGTACGGCAGGATACCTGTATCATAATTGAAAGATAAGTTGTCACGATAAAAATGAGAATCAAATAGCAGTCAGCTTACTAAGAACTGATTACATTTGAAGTAGTTTTTCAGAGGCTGCGATTTTAATGTTCTATCAAGTGTGCTTTCAAGCGTGAATCAGAGCATAGAATTATAATTAAGAACAACATGATTCATTGAACCAGCAATTTCAATAAACAAAGGATTACATCGAGAGCTTCTGTGACGTGATGTAGCTTTTACCGTAACTGAAGTACCGGTGTGGCTTGCCACCATACATGCTGTCTGCAGTGAGGATCAGCTCCCCCTCAGGATCGTAGCAACAAGTTTGTCCGGAACCCCCTATGCTAGGCCGTCCTGACTTGATGCACTGAAAAGCCGTCTTGTAGAACGGATCGCATTTTCGGCTGTACGTATTGCAGAGTGTATCGGGTGCGAAACGGCCCCGATCTAAGTCCGATTGACGCAATGTACATGGGCATCTGAATAAAACAATTTAAACGTTTCACCAGAATAAACTTAACACTACATATGCTTCTAGGCTGAGTCTTCTAATCCCATTATAGGCTAAATACTAATACCGTTCTTTGCTAATCCTGTTCATAACCAATTCCCAGATCATTTGTGGCTGTAGCTGTTGATGCGCTAACAAATCGAAAACGTTAACATCTTCTCTTCGTTACGAAGTTTATTCACTGTGTACTCTAAAGCAAAAAATATTACATGATAGTAGCCGACAATTAGTAGAGCGGGCAGGACAACGAAATGCAATATATGGGGGCGAACTTTACACTTCTTCTTTTTCATTCTTTCTTTATATACGGTTCAGTTAAAACATCTGTAGCTAAAGTAAAAATAATCAATGTACTAATTTGATATAAATAGATACCAAAATATCACACCTCCTGAACTTCTAGAATGGCTTTAGGCCCTATCTCTTAGGGCATCATATCGCAGCTTTTGCCTGGTGAAAAAAACGTACCTCCAGAGTGTGATCGCAAATTTATCTCCTTCTCGTTCATGTTCGAACCAATCGTTGCAAAAAGAATCCTTCCAATATTTGCCAAACTGATATTCCCACTGAGGCCAGAAATACCATGCTAGAGGCATTGGCCGACTCCAGATCATCCTGAAAATGTTTATCGATCAGTTTTTACATTGCTCGTGTCGATCCCGAGGTCGACGATGTCGTTTTGTGGATCCCCCGACATGCCATTATATTCGCATGATTATTTTCCTAAGGTTGGCTTTATATCACGATAATGTTAGCAAGACAGATGCAATAGCGTGTCTAAGGTATATATTTGTTTTAAAACTTGGTTATAAACTTTTACTTACGGAGATTTTTCATCGGTTACTAGATTTGCCAGGTTTGGATTCGTAATATTCACGCTGATAAAGCCAAACTGCAGGCCAAGCTTCTCACGATCGTTAGCGTTTGCGTATCTTGCAAGATTAAGATTTATCTCGCGATCCATTACAGTTGCGGTGCTTAGTTGAGTAATATAAGTTAGGGATGGGTATTCTTGGTTATCTTTAAAGCCCCAAAGATGAATGCCAACTTCTCGATTGTCGTCTAGAAATGACGTCAGCTTGTCGTACTTCCATTGCAGTCTCATGCTTTCAGGTTTCTCCTCTTTATCAGCGTCATTAACAATAAGAATGTCCTCGCTCGCAAGCTCCGGTGGCTCTGATAGAGAAACAACACATACAGTTTTAGTTTCAGGTTCTTGGTAACGTGGCGCATATCATGCGCGTAAATTCAAAAATCAAATCAAATGCACATACGTACCCACTATTGTAGCGTCTGTCTTAAATGAAAGATATGTGCCCCTTGCGAGCAATGGGGCAACTTGTATTCAATAAAAGAAAATGTCACTGCATTGATTTTGTGACGTAACCTTGCACTTACGAATGTAGAAACGACCATAGAAAAAGGCGTCACCTCCATCAATGGTAACAGTGAGATCCACGTAACCATGATAAAATACTTGCGGCATGTAGCACGACACATGATGGCGATTTCGGTAGATGGCCGGAAAACGACCACCACTCATATCCTGAAATTGACATTCTATCTTTGCATGCTTCGGAAAGCATGGTCCTGTTACATTGATCATGGTTCCGCCGAGCATATTGGCGTATTTTGGAAAGAATGATAAACGGAGTCGCTGAGTAACGAGTTGGGGATCCAGCTCTGTAATAGCATTCAGAAAACACGGACATTTTGTCGGACATAAATAGCCTCCTATTAAAGTCTGTGACCAGCTTTATCGTCGCAAGCTCCGATGCGTAATGCGTTTTTCTTTTCATAATTGATAAAAGATTATATATATACACATGTGTGCAACCTATTTTGCAGATGTCTCGTACCCCAGTTGACACATGTTCCTGTATAGATTTCCTCATTGACCTGGAATATGTAACGGCCCTTCATTTGTTCATCTCCGCCTTCTGTAATCTGTGAGACTCGAGGCTGCTGTGAGTACGGGAAGAACTCGTAAGCTCTAGTAGTGTTGCCGGCGTTGAAGCCAATGAACGGATTCAGACCGTTCGTACCGTCTTTCTGTAACCGTGACCAGATACACCAGACCGTGCCGAAAGTCGGCATATTATTATTGCAAAAATACGAAAAGCTCGAACTACACGAACGGAAACAAAAGCTGACCCGGGTGTGATCAGGCAATGATAAATAATCTGGCCACCGAAGTGCGTAGTACCGATATGCTCTGCACCACCAGGTAACGGACTACTAAATTTCCGAAGATCTTTTATTTCGCAGTTAGAGAAAACAATAAATAATAGCTTAAGTTTGAACTAATTAGTTAGCACCCATATCGATACGGTGATATCTATCACGATGTGAATAGGAATGAAGATCAGATGATGCGGAAACATAGACCGTTGTAACAAAATAGATTATCGTCATTGCTCGGAGCAATTACCCGATCTTCAGAAGAGATCCAGTCGATTTTTTCGTAGTTCAGCATAACGTACGATCGGATTTCATCAGAAGCGATGACTATTTGGAACGTGTTGGTCTTCTGTTTCGGGCCACGCCTCTCGAGTTGTGGAACCTGAAGTATTTAGTAGAAGACAGTCAAACGAACCATAACAATGGAACCACCTAATACCGCTTGTATATCCGTATCGGAGAAGTTAGCGTTGATTGAGTGGACGAAAATTATTAGCACGCTATCGTGCAATTGCTCGATACATTCTAGAATCTAGGACGTGAAACAGCTCTTACCGTAGTATTTCTCCAGGTGGCAATGAGCGCAAAGGTCGGCGCAAATCCCTGGGAACCAATCATTCCGCCATTGAAGTCGTCATGAAGTCTACGCTGAAGCCAGCAATCGGTTTTTTCATGGATACTTGTGGGGCAGTTTCGGAGTTCTCTGCACACAATATGACAGTAGTATCAATAAAAATAGCGCAGACAATAATATTAATGCGCCGAAGCTCTAGACGAATATGACTAGGGCGTGGTTATCATAAATTTTTCCCAGAATTTCCGTAAATAGCATCGTCTTTACACGAGACTTGACTTGGTCTGCTCAAATCGAAATTCCAGTTTTTCGTTATCTGGCGATGTAAGTTCAATTTAAGAAATATCCTAGGAGATTTCTGGCCGAATGTATACTCTTACCGGCGCTTTTTAATCTTAACTAGTCGGACGTAAAGCCCAGACTCTGCAACATCCTTGTCGAAGACTTGATAGGTTAGCCATGCTGCGATGATGGCTGGATCCTTCTCGCTGAGCGTGTCAGCAGGCTCCAGCGGGAATCGAACCGGCAGTCGATATTCTTTTGGACCTCCGCCGAAATGCACATAGCCGTTAGTGTGGATCTACATTGGCAGTAAACAATTCCAAGAAGGTCTTTTTAGTAGCCTTTAACTCGAGGTCGATACTGCAGCTGTTGTCATTCTCCCCGATATATTGATATATGACGCACAAACCTTGATATATTTGTAGGCAAATCCAAAATATGGCAGGCGATTGGTGAGTGACATCTCGTGTTCCGGTTTTGATGCATCTACAGGCGAGGAATCATTTCTGTCGTACGGGTACATAAGCATATTTCGAAATTGACTGTATTGCGCAGGTATCTGTTAAGGCATACAAGAAAAGAACACAGTGATAGATTAGTTGAACGAAGAGCTTCAAATGCAAAAAACGTGCACAGGTTCTAGTTAAAGAGGTAGCGATCAATAGAATGGCAATTACTCAGATTAAGTAGTAGTCATCAGCTTGACAGGGCAATTTATTAAGACATATTTTGTTCGCCAGTCACTTGTGCTTGCTAGTTCTGTCACGATATGTTTCGTGTGTCTGTTGACAATCTATCATGCAGCATAACCTCGTTTTATCGCAATATAAAATAATTTCCTTTACACACAATTTGTGTAATATGTGTGCTTATCGTAATATAAGCATATGATACAAAGCACGCATTTACCAATAAAAAACATCTCTTTATACACACCCCTATACTAGAAATCCTTTCCTATCTTCCAGTCTCCTTACCTTGGGATAGTAAGTCGCTTGCTGCGATCGATAATCAGCATTGAAATTGTTTTTTGATTGAGAGGAGACTTCTAACGGTATTAATATTAACACACTGGCTGTGAGAAGGCTGAACGAGAACAGCGAAGGGTCTAAGTCCCGCCCGACTGCTGCTTTAAGACCGCCCATTTTGTTACCACAAACGACGCCGCCGATCTTCTTCTGCAGAGATCTTATCGGTCCTTTTTGACGAAGCTAGGTTATAAAAAACATTAACTGAAATGTTAATTGTAAACAAAATCTAGGTTACTGGAAACTGTGTACAAGCATACATCTTGTCGTTTTCGATCGAAACAAACCAAGATAGAATAGAAACGAAAGCTCCATTAACAAATGACGAAAATACCTGAATATTCTATAGTACAGCAGCAGCAGACTCTAATTGAGCTCATTAAATCGACTTTAGAACGGAATATCACTGTTTTTCCAACTCCGAATGCCTTGCTGATCCTCTGGTAAAGAGGTCGTAAGACTCGTGTTCAAAATCAAACTGGTTAAACTAAGGCCTTTTTTAAGCGCGTATTTTTCTACCATTGAAATAATATGATACTATGTACCAGCCGCTACCCTTTACGAAATTCAGCTAGCAGCTCGTTATGTAGTAAGATCTTTTCAATTTAGGCGGTTCTGAATACATCAAATAGTTCCATTACCATAATGATACAACGGTAAGATGTTTGCCTACTAGCCGAAAGAGTACAAATATTAGCTAGCTTTGAATCGATGTACACACACCTGGATCCTTCACCAGAAATCCAGTGAAATTTAACAATAGAAAACGCAATGAACATAGTAATATCTACTCCTCGTGATCGTTTGTATGGGGCATGCTACCTTAAGTGGTCCTTGCTAGGACAGCGGTGCCATAGAAAATATAGTCGAGAAAGAGCTTTTGATTCTCTCGTCTTGAATGAGATTTTCCATCAACTTTAAGCGGCTTGTGTCATGACGAGAAGCATTTTCTAAAGCGATGCTTAACTACAGGAGCAAACTGGAAACTCTAATTTATGCCTAAGCGGATTCTTAAGCTCGCTCTAGGCCATTATTATGCTATTTTCCGATCCAATACAGGCACTAATTCACTTCTTAACAGACGAATAGTAGATCTCAAATATTCCGTAACGTTCTTAACGACTCTATGATCGATTCTTTTTTACGTTAAAATTTCGCTGTTTAGTGATGCAATAAAACTAGGACACACGACGTAATTACAAGTATGTTGGTCACACGTTATTTTGAGCTGATTTTTCGAACACGTAATAGTTGTGCATCAGCTCAGGTTGGATAGGAAGGTAGGCCACTCTACCCTCTACTCACTTCGCTTGCTGGCATAATAATAACATATGTATTCAGAACCTGTAATAATTCACGCATAAAAAATATACCGAGATAGGTTTGCTGTATATTAGTAAACTATAATATACCGGCTTTCCATGATCTCAACAAACGTGCGGTTTTCATTACGATGATGTAAACTAATCTTGTATAATCACTACGAGTAACTGCTGCGACCCTGTCAGTCAAATCTACACAGAGATCTAAGTGAAAATAACGGATGTAATTTAAAAGTTAATTAATTTATTTACATAATAATACACTTCGTGTTGTTATTCTGCTGTTTTTTTTTTTGCTGTAGATAACGGTCCCTGTCTTGCTGCATGGTTCAAACTGTCCGAAGTGCTTTCGTATTGCCTGTAAGGCGCCTTCGATCAACGTTTTGGCAAAAGTTCGTCCTAAAAACGTTACGCGGCCCCTCTGTTTGATTTCAGTTATACATTAACAGTTGGCTCACCGCTATAGACTGACTCTGGCAATCGTCTAGGTGACATGTATCCACAATGGTAGATCCGGTTATTGATACGCAGGCAATTTGTAAGCAACAAAATAATCCCAGTCGAATCAGTATGAACTGTTCTTATGAGTGCCGTCGTCAAGCCATGTTTTGTTCTTGTATTTAGGTTCTCGAGTGATTGATTGCCAAACTAGTGGTACCTGCCACTTACAACTCCAGCCATTGCCCTCAACCGCAAGAGTGATTTATCTATTTATTTAGCACATTTAACCAAAGCAATGATAAAACTTTGCATTCATCATTTATTCTTAATCGTTCGTGTACGCAGAACACAACATGATCCTTCAATCTAACGATCCTTCTTGATCCGATCATGTAGTCGATCCATGATCTCAAGGCTCCGGAAAGGTCCAGCAGAGTCGAGCGAGCGGCCAGTTTGTCCAAAGATCATCTTGAAGCCCATATCAGTGAAATAGTTCACGAGCACACGGGTCATCTTAATAAAAATCACGTCCCACTCGGCTTGTTCAAACATCCGCATAAATCCACCAAGAAACTGTCGTGACTGCACTGCGCGTCGAGCACGCACATGGGTAGGGTTAACTTGGTTAGAAGCGGGCTGCATAAAAGTTATCTCACTTCGATCGGTACTATCATCATTGTACCGCACCAGTGAACCTAGCACTGAGGGTACGATAATAAGTAGTATGATTAACAGCTTCGCTAGCAGACTGGAACAGAGACACATCATCGTGCCAAAGTCAGCTGAACGTTTGAACTGTCTAAGTTTTCCGCGATGGCTGGCTTGTTGTTGCTATTACTGCGCGCCGATGGCAGTTTGTCGGTGATACTGGATCGTTCGGTTCGGCCAATTGAACGAAGTCGGGCGATGAAGACGAACGCTTCAACAGGACCAGCATTAATGGATCACAGCTGTGCGGGGTGCGCGCTTTAGCAGCGCGTCACCTCTTTGCATCGCTACGGCATCGGCGACCGCAACGGTAATGATACAACCGACGATGTCTGCCTTCTCGTCTGTGGTGAAGTCCAGTCCTGACAAGAAAGTGGGGTCTAGGTGCCTCCTGGTTCGCAGTGGCTACGCGCGAAGTCATGCCATCGCATCTGACTAGCTGAAGACTAACTGATATAGCTGAGCATAAAACAGCATTGGTAACCTAGCGTCAGTTTATCCGAATTCGAATGACTCTTGTTCACTAGTCCTTCTCCCGCCTTCTACGGTTCTTGCTTTCTACTATAGCTATATGCTCCGTGTTCGACGTTCGTATTTCGTTCCTGCTTGGTGCCAGCAGTCATTTCAGCTTTGCATTTTAAATCAGCTGTCAGCTGGGGTCAGCGTGTTGGCCTACGCCAAGTGTTTCTTATACTATTAGCTAGCACATATTAATATGTTTCAAATTTTTGCGGCGCTAGCTAGCAAGCAAACAAGCAAGCAATATGTATGGATGCCTTCACGAACGATTCCATGTACCGATCGAATGCTCAATATTCCAAACTCTTTCGTTCTGCCTGGTGTCCTCCTTCTATAATCCGGCTAGAAAGAGTCGATTCCGACATCCATTCCACACGAAAACTAAGACAACGTACATATCACAATAGAAATAATTTATACATTAAAATGTAGGCATTTATATTTCGTAGCAGTGGCGCAAAGAGACATATCACCGTATATCTGTGACGTCGCCTAGCTTTCACAAAACCGGTATTTTTTTTTATTGTTGCAGGTATTTTTTTTATAATCATAACGAAACAGAAAAAGGCTCCGGTAGCTTAATTCTTCTACGACAATCTCAATACATTTGTCAGTAGTGCATCCGCAATTGATTACGTTGACCCAATCCCCACAACCATAGTACTTCGATTTATAATCACTGCTGTGTAAAGAAAAAAAAAAAAAGAAAAAACGATTCGATTGAAGATCAGAAAAGAACAAAAATACTCACGTGAGCTAAACGATCAACAGCTATATTAGTCACAAAAAAGTTAGCTTAAGAAAACTTGTTGGATCCGTCTTGCTGCCAGTGAAATCGACGCTAAGTTCTGGTAGGGCCCCCTAGTGCTTCGTGAGAGCGCCGAAAGACCAATATTTCTTGCGTCTGTCTTCGTGCCACTGACGTAATCGAGCAAACGCTTTTTTTTAGCATCGCTTCATTCGTTTTTCCTTTGCTTATAATTCTATTTTCCCCTGGTGACGATCGTTCAGCCATTTACTGGGTCAACTGGCTATAATGCGGCCAAATATGCCGGAAAGATCGATACAATCAAATTATGTTAAATTGCCGAAACACATTTTCTATGCTGTTACCAATTAAAACGTTTGCTAATAAACTGAAGATTAAAAAACGAGCCTCTGAAGCAGTCAGTAAACGCAAGCAGTCTGGTAATTGTAACTGTCGCCGCCTATTGGAATCGTATACGAGTAACGCCGGCCCTGATCGAAAAGCACGCATGTGCTAGATACCGTTTTGTATGTAGCTCGCAGACTCGTCAATGGAGCCAATGTTATTAAATTTGACGGTTTGTACATTTAGGTACATTTAGGTTGGTAATATATATATATATATACACCGGGCGAAGCAAAGTCTTCTGGCAGTTCGACCGACTTCACTTAACACGTATGAAAAAAAAAACAAAGAGATACGTAAATTTTGGCAGTAAAGAGCGTATTTAATTGTAGAACTATGTTTTTTTGGAACATCATTGTCATTTCTATGCTCTTCCAATAATGCCGCGCCGACAACGTATGTCAAAGATGCACTATCTATAAAAACTATAATTATTCAGATGGTTCGATTGACTGATATCAGAACGTCCTAAAATATGCCTATAATATTATTATTCCATTGTTCGATCCAGTTGACTTTGTTCTTGCGTATTTTTTGCTACGTCACCAGACGGGACCCACGATTAAAGAGCTACTTCTCAAGTCTAATTCATCGTGTAGATATATGAGTATACTATAAGAAATTGACTTGCGACGCTATCTCGTATACTGTGCTTGTTTGTTCTATTTCTGCTTCAGCTTTACTCTCGATGAACAACGCTGTTCTGCAGTGTTTCGTTGTTAAATTTATTCATCCTTCAGACTGGGTCGTTTTGGCATTACGTTAGCTGTGCTATAGTATCGGTGATTCTTCTTCTGATTATCGTACGCGTACCTTTGGTGTGACGGAAGGCGTCTACCATCGAACCGGCGTGCTACATCGGGATCGACAGCATCCTACCAGCAAGCGCCATATAATTTTTTCTGTTGCTTAAAACGCCGTATGAAAGTGAAAGCGTACCCCCCCAGTTATTTACAAGCAGCAGGATAGCTTGTATCTGCTGACTGGCGGCGCAGGGATGAACTCACAGGTAAACGGGTCCAACGTCAACTCTCAACCGGCGCACGTCAAGTGACTAGGATATTTTCGCCTATATATACAGAGTATAGTGCCTCAAGTGCGTTGAGCAGCCACCTCGCGCCGAACGCACTGGTTAGTTTGGAAAAATGGCCACCGACCAAAAGATCTGCAGACAGTGTGATAATGCCGGCGTAGTTGAACGCTAAGCTTCAAATCTGCCGGGTTGTACGGAGCAGACTAGAGGAGTGCCGGAGTACCGGCTGCATTCTAGGACGCAGTCTAATCTAATCATAAATAATGCTCAAGTCAGCAGTTGGTTTTCATTTCGCGATGACTGGTGCAGTGAATCACGCTAGTAACCGACCTTGCGAGCGCTCCTCGCCTGTGACTCCGCTGTGACAAAGGAAGGCATGGACCTCCGTTAGGAGACTCGATGGCAGACGCCGAAAGCAAACGTGTGATTTGGCCACTCGTTGCGAGCCAAAGCGGTATTATCCACCACAGCTATGTGCTCGTAGTCTCGTCGCTCATCTTAGGACAAACAACTGTGTGTTTACAATAAAACAGTCGCTAGATCCACTGATCTGAATGGGTGGGCGATTCCCCACCGATCGGGCATAAAGAAAGACGAATATAAGAATGTAAAAAAAAAAATACATTTATATGACGCACGTTTATGATTTTTACCTTTCATATAATCTCATTCTTGTTGAATTTTTTTCACAAATAAAATTCGGGCCAGGTTATATATGCAGCTAGAAGTATTTAAGAGCATTCGGGTGTTGTATTAATTGCGATACAATTATGTAACAGTGCGGCAAATCGGTCCAATTATAAGTCCCAAAATTGGAAGTGTTTGTAATAAACGAAATTCTTTGAATAAAATGTATGCGATACATTCATCTCCGCTTATTCCGCAGCTCAACCCGATGGCCCCATACAAAAATATCAACACTACACTCTAGCAAGGATATCGCGTCAATTACCATCTGAGTTACGCACAAGAAGGGATCAACATGTAATTATTACCACACGGTTTTCGCCAATAACAGGTGCATAGACATTTATTGACGATGGTTTCAACAAGGGTGATAAGCCATTCGTTATGTGGCAACGTGTGTCGCCAACGGCTCGTTTGGAAGAAGTCCTTCCGCCGGACTCATCGCGAAAAACAACAAACAATGATTGCCCAATGCAAGAACTATCCAGCCCAATAGTGCGCCTAGGAACACGATCTTCAGGAAAGAGTCAATAATTGTCTAATAAGGCAGGAAATAGCGACGAATCCGATATTCGAACTATTTTTTTTTTTTTTTTTCGTTTCTTCTAGAGAACTGCTTAGATGCGTAACGGTATTTGCTAGAACACGGCTGTCATTGCCAAAACAAAAGCCACCCCCGTATCCAACAACATCGTAGTAAACGCTGCCGTTGGGTCACCGCGGCAACTCATTATGCAGTAACCGCACATATATATATATATAGTATTTCCATATTTCTACCTTTTCATACGTTCATTTTCGATTTTTATATGGCTTCATTTAGGGATAACTTGGGGATACAGATAATAGATGGCCCGAGCTAAATTATACGGAAAAACGAATCCAAATATTCAATAACTAAGACATACAAGTGGGTCAAAATTAATATTTGTCTTTACTCCGAACTTCAGGATGCACAAGATACGAGATCTTCAAGTTGGAACACTACTTAAACACTTCATTTTGTAAGTTGATTTGAATTTAAATTAGAACCGAAGTGCGTTCGTCGTGCTCCGTAAAAAGACGTACTACAAAAGTGAAACAAGTTATAATTTTAGTGAGTCACGCCCACTGGTATGTACAAAAGGTACATATTCTTCTCGATTTAACCCAGCAGATCATACAGCTGCAGTAGCTTTGTCAGCACTTAAGTGAATGCACGGAGCGTTTGCGACAATTATCAATAGAGCGTCTTGGGTTTGAAACGTTGCAACCGACAAAACGTATCCCTACTTTTTCCATTGGACCGTACCGTGGAAAACTGAGATCAGAATTGGCCGATATAATTAGTCTCATTACTAACACAGTTGATTTAGTCGATCAACAAGCACTAACAGATGCCCTGATTGCACGGACACGACTAGTCGCCCTTTTTATATGGGCTCCCGCCTCACCTTAAGTCCAAAGAGAAGCAAAAGTCCAAGTTCCAATTTCAGTACACGTTGTTCGTAGCTCTAAACAGCAGAAAGATGCACACGCTTGGGACTCACTGACTCAAAACTCCACGTATTTGAGAAAACTTTTGGATTCCATTTAGAACGACACCAGCCAGCACTCTCTATCGACGACAATTGAAAAAACCTGCAGCTATAGCTTACCTCATGACTGGAGCAGGCCTTGCTGCGGTAGCTGGATGCCGTCTCACAGGTTGCTAATGGGGGGGGGGGGGGGGCACCGAAACGGGGAAGGCAGTGCCTTTGTGAAGCAAAGACAATAGCTCTATTCAGCCACGCCCCTATCATATACGAAGGTGGTTTGAGTGGATGACTACAATGGGACTTGGCCTGCCAACATTGGAGCATGGGAGTTGGGGCGAGGGAAGTGTGGCCGTAATAGTCTACTCTTGACTCATGTATCGACTAGCAGTTTCTGCAGCAATTTTGCCTTTATAGCATCTCTGTAGTTCACTGGTGAATAGTTTAAGACGTCTATGGGTACAGTGAACTACAATGGGCTGCACGTGACCTGTGGGAGTTAGTTGAAGAGAACATCATTCATGTAGCCACCCGTCACGTAGGCACATATTTTAAGCGTTCATCAGATGTTATATTCTTTCGGCAGTCATTACCGGTCAACGCTACACGATTCGCTATTCGATACATATTGCCCCAACCGTGAACTATAAGTAACGCATGCTCAAGCTGTTTACGATGGACCGCAAGCATTACGCATTGTCAGTGTGCACGACGTCCAAGTTGTGCGTAGATCAGATGTGCTCCTTACCAGTAGATGCATTTTATAGTAAGAGAACTCCTTAAAAAAAGATTGAATGAAAAAGGGGAAAAAATCACATGTACATTAAACACAACAACGTCGAAAAAGAATAGGGAAAGCTCAAAAGACGTCGAGTTATTAAAAATGTATTTTTGTTTTCGAACAAAAGACAGACATTTGCAGGAGCCGAGGTAGGTGCCAAAAGAATATTTCTTATACCTCCATGTTGAAATACGTGTTCCGCTTAAACGTGTTACCACTTAGTGGGCGTAGTGTGCGCCAACAGCATATGGAACATACTGCGAAGACAGAAATGCGTTTGAGAGGCTCGTAGGATAGAAATACAATACAGGTATACTGTAAAGTCCACCATCTACTAGCAGTTAGTCAACGGAACTCAGCCGCCTTTATTAATAATGGGGTTTTAATCTAAAGAACCAAAACTCCTTAAAGTACGACCATCGTTTGGTGGCAAAGCTAACCCGTTTTTACTTTTTTTTTGACATTAAATTCAAAGTAGATCGAAAACTCGTAGCGATTTGTATGGCGTGCTTTTTGGATCATAGGACGTTCAGCCCGTAATCGCCCAATATATAATAATTAATTAAATAACTTTCCCATGTATGTTTTTGTCATATAGACGCTGGTAAGATAAATAAATGTAACTTTTGCAGGGAAAACTCCATAAAGCTTGTATCTAGCGTACAATGTTAATAGAAAATCACAATGAGCGATAGATAGTAAACAATATAGGAGTATCTTGCCTACGAGTGACGTGTTCGACGACTGTTTTGATCTCATTGGTAGGAACCAATTTGCCAGTAAACTTTGAAATGTTAGGTCTGCCCATGTAGCGTAACTTAATTAACTGGAAATATATATAGCCTTATTTTAACTAACATTAATAACGTAAATGGGATCTATCCATAAAAGCTTTTCCGTACAACTGAAGAGAAACCATGTATGTGCTTCTGTCGAATATGATAAAAATGTATTTTGTATCCATCTTGAAGCATGCCATCAAGCTTTAGAACACCTTCGTTGATAATGAACCTTGTAAAAGTCGATGGTTAGTTTGTAGAGTGTCTGTTATCACAGGTAGAAAGGCTAGAAACTAGCACCCGCTATCCGACCTGGTTGATACGATTAAAACAACAAAACCAGTGGCAGTACGAAGTCCGTTCCGGCGAGCTATTCTTTCCTTGTTGATTTTACTACTGCGGACGTTACCAGCAGCCATGCGAGCAACTCCTATAGCAAACAGATCGAAACGTAGACGCCTTGACTCGGTAGCTACACTGGGCAGGAAGCACGATAAATTAGACAGACAGCTGAAGCGGCCACAATACACAGCCATCGATACATGCGTAAATTTAAAACTGAATGTATTAGGAAAATGGTATTTGCCTATGAATATAAATGGTGTCACATCTGGTGATGAATTTGCTGGAACAGGTCTAACCTGCATTGATAGTTCAACAAAATTTTATGCAGGCATGAATGATATTGCATCGGAACAGCGTACAGTGATGTTTTATGAATCACCGTTAGTGAACTTTGAAGACAAGCTGCACCCATTATCTAGCTAGTGACAGCTCGTTGAGTCTTTAGTTCCGAGTAATCTATCCTTAACAGACTCTTTAATTCATTTTATAGGCAACGAACTAACTCCTTAATAATTGTCTTCTTCAGACGAGTTCAAGCAAAACGAACAGATGCAAATCAGGGTTATAGCAATGGTCAAAAGGCCGGTCTCTAGTGAGCTGAACTAGATTTTTATATTCCCTTTTTAGCCTAAGGATGCTCATATTTTTCGCCTTGTTCCTCACGCTAATAGTGCATTCTATTCCTTACCCTCGAATAATAACGGGAAAAATTCATGTCCAGCGTAGTAAGAAGCCCAGAAGAATGACTTCTACATTTTTTGTTCAGAAACAGCGACCACTTTAACCCTCTTTGAGGCTGTTCGTGTAAAGAGTTTTGAATGTCCTTTAATTGTTTACACTTATTGTTTTAAACCTCTGACACAGCTAAAAACACAGTTCACTCTAATTGTTTAAGGCATCATTTGAGAGTTATACTAACAATACATACTGGTACTAATCAGAATACAACGAAAAAGCAGTACGATTTCTTTGAAAAAGTCATTTATTTTTTCCATATGTCACATATATATATATACTCTAGGAGGTGATTTATTGGAAAATAAATCATGTTATGTATTTACTTATACGCTATAGTTTATTAGCCACACTGTATTGATTTATAATCAATTATTTTCGTTACGATAACAACATGTAGTAATATATTGTTTCCACTATTCTGTAACCGGGTCAATATAAACAATCTTGTTTTCGATGTATAGCATCACTTCAATTGAAGGTAACATTCGAAAAGCTCAGTACCGTTTACAGAACCGTTAAATAACGGTTCTTCAATATTAGCATGTCAACTATAGACCCATTGCTCTCCAGTATACCTACATATATGCACACTGTCAATTAATTCGACGTCATCGAAGTTTACAGATGTGTTTAGAGTACTAGTTTTCGTGCAATTGCAATATTCAAGACTTTTCCAAGTTAGCACAATAGTAAATCTGATCCATATATTTTACGTGCCGGAATACATTGCTCTACATACAGGATTTGCAACTAAGATTGCGCGTATCTTACAATTTTCAAACAATGGAGCATAACAGGTTCACGCTGAGAAGGTAAATCATCATGCGATGCATAGATCCTACACACATTCAGCGCTTTACAAATTCTTTAGAAATTGATAAGCATAACTTCTTACAATACCACTTCCGGCATTTTGAATGACAACTTGTTTGGCTAAAATTATTTATCAAAACATTTTCGTGTTTTAGAGACGTGTAGTACTCCTAAATATTCGAAATACATGTTCATTTTCTAAATTTGATACCGTAATGTTTACATTAGCAAGTTTTGATACTAATCTATGTTTGTGGATAATTCACACGACGAAAACATTCGATCGAAGACGACTTCTCGACGAAAAAGTTATGTTGCGTAGTAAAATCTAAGTATTTGTTTATTTACTCGCTTTGCTATCAGGAACACTTGTTCCGTAGGACCCTTGGATGAGGCTTATTTCATGAATTTTCGTAATAGCTACTTGTATTAAGGGTTCGGTAAAAGCATGCTTGACTATGACGTCAATTTGTGAACGTGACAGTTCTTACCGTTTTTGATGGCGGTACCGAAACTAGATGCAGGTAAGCTCAGGCATCATCGCCTCATGCTTTGTCCACATTCACGGACATTGTTTTCCGGCTAATTTTTTTGTTCATAGAACTTACCACCGCCTCGTAATTAGGATTGTATATTGAATTGATATTCTCATCTTATATATAAGATATACACAAAAGATCATTTTGTTTCTCTTGTCATTTCTGGTAATTGTCTCCTAAACAAAATGGAGAATAATGTAATTAAAGATCAGCCACAAAGTAATTTTTGTTAGCAGACACCAAACAACGATTCTTTCAATATTATTCCATATGACTGTAATCGGGTAAAAATTGAACAGGTAAAAGGAATAACGAAAAAGAGCTAACATGTCACGCTTTTCTACGAACAAAAAGACTTATTTCTAGAGATTTCTATAAGTGGCAACTTGTAAAATACTATCATGATTTCGTCGATCACGCAGATAAAATGCCAGAATAGTCAAGTTATTTTATGCCCGCTGACGATTCAGTATATATATAGATCATATTATTTTAGATACAGAAACACTAGCTACAGTAGAACACTCTATAGAAAGGTGGGAGACCTAAAGGACTCACGCCAATTCCTCGAACGAAAATTCAAGAAATATTAGTTTGATCTAAGTAAAATTACGATCATCTAAAGAGAAGGCAATCAACCTATTTTTTTTTTCTTCATTTAAACATTTTTTTTTTCAGTGAGAGATTTAGGAAAATACCTCGCCAAAGATGAAGTACTGAAGAGGCGCGCCCTCTATATGCGATTTAAACGCATAGAACTCAGTCTATTAGAAAAACTTGAGTTTTTCTAAAAATCCTCTCGCTACCGTGTGACGTGAGACAGCGTCCCATCTATCTGTTATAGATACGATAACTGCAATTTTATATCCACTGTTTATTTACTCAATTTACAATTATAATGAAGTGAATATAAATGGTTTTTTTTTGCGTTTTAGGGTACCACTACTACTGCTACTACTACTACTAGGGTACCACTAAAGAATGATCGATACTGTATTTACACAGCCCCAGAGGTCGCTCCCGATTCAAGTTCCGCCACTGACACATAGTGAGCACTTTGAGTTACTATAGAAAAGCTATATTTGTATAACCTCAAACATTACTAGCTAGCATTCAAGTTTCGCTTATGCCCGTACATA